TTCAGTTTTTAGGGTAAGGATTTTAGAAAAAAGTATCGTCTTATAGTCGGAAAAATAAGGTATACTATATTGAGTTCATAGATGTGAGTGGTGGAAGCTCTTCAGGATGCTTGTATTCTGTATGATTTTGTTACTATACAGTAGGCGGCAAATGGTCCTACTCAGTCTTTAGGAATGAAGCCATAACCAGCTGGGGTCTCGATGGTTATACCCCTCATAGAAAACAGGTCTAGTGATACTAGTAGGCTCCATGTGCAATATCTGGATAGCTTGACTAGATCCAAGAATTAGAGCCTTCTAATCCAGCTGAAGACTATAAATATCAGCTCTGCTCTCCAGATTTAAACAAGTATCAAGAGCCTGGGGATTAGCAGGATGGGATAGGGAGAATCATACAATACGTCTTTGGGCCACATAATGATGATGATAATGTTAATTGCCTCTACTTCCTGGGCTAAGAAACATGAGATAAACTATTCTACCTTGCGATTGGTAGGAATTGCTAGAAGAACCATTACTGGCCTCCTAAAGAGCAAGTTTCTTCAAACACCTTGGTATTGAGATCCAGGTCTTTGTACCTCAGTCAGTCAGTCATTATGTTGTTATTATCCTAGTCTGAGAACTTCCCGTCAGTGCATAACACCTAAAGCAGAGGTGTTAGGTGTTACTCATGGTTGCTTTGTGAACTGGTGAGGAGGCTCAACTGATAACAAAGGAATGTCCACCGATTAAAATGTGAATCTCTCATTTTAAACATATCATCACAGCTCCTGGATGATCTTCTCTCTTTTCTTTGGCAAGGGTATCAGCATTTTGCTATCCAGGATGGCACCCAGATGTTGCACTATTTGAAGTATGCCTAGGTCCTTGAGGGTCTGAATCTTGATTTGGATATCCATCTTTCCCTGTTTAGTTAGCAAGTAATCTAGGTAGGGGTACATGCATATTCCCCAGGATGTGAGGTGAACTACAACCATCACCTTCAAGCTATATATTGAGAGTGAGCATCTAGATGTCCAAGTTTTAGGAACTACAGTATTCATGTCTTGGGTGAAGACATGAACAGTTCCTATCTATGGAATGCATAATAGGCCTTCTGTAAGTCCAGCAAGGCCAGGACATATTTTTTTCTGGAGGTGCTATATGATTAGATAGATAGGCATCTAGATGTCCAAGTTTTAGGAACTACAGTATTCATGTCTTGGGTGAAGACATGAACAGTTCCTATCTATGGAATGCATAATAGGCCTTCTGTAAGTCCAGCAAGGCCAGGACATATTTTTTTCTGGAGGTGCTATATGATTAGATAGATAGATAGATAGATAGATAGATAGATAGATAGATAGATAGATAGATAGATAATATATATGAGATATATATATCAGGCTTTCCATCTGGGACTTGCAGTGCTTGATATGGTGGTCCACTTGCTTGAAGTCCGAAATGGCATGCCATCCTTTGTACCTCTTGGGGATAATGAAGAATATGGATTGGGATCTGGAGAGTCTCTTGCCCTGTGAGACCTGTCTATGGCCTGTATGATCTGCAAGTGGGTAATGGCTATTTTGCATGACCTGGGGAAAGGAGTGAAATAGCTTTGAGGAAGACTGGTAAATTCAAGAGTAACTGCCTACAACTGTCTTTTAGGACTTCTGTTCTGATGGTGTGTGGGCCCACAAAAGGACAAATTCTGTTAGCCTCCCACATGCAGGAAGATTGTGATGGTCCTTGCTATTTGTATCCTCTATTGTAGTATGGTAGGAGTTTTTAAAATTATTTTTTATTATTATTAAATGTATATGCTGCCCATCTCCCCCCCAAGTTCCTTTTGGGTTGCAAATGGTGTCTCCTATTTTGTGATCTCTGTCTTCCCTTCCTAAGTAGTCTATGACCCGCTACAGCCCAAGGTTCTTTTCTAGGTGTGAAAAAAACAAGAAGTGAAGCTTGGTGTTTTGTTGCCTTGTCTTTGTATTTGTTAGGGACAAAGCTTGTTTTTCCATGTCCTTAATTTTGATTACATATCACCTAGAGTGTCTCCCAATAGTTTGTCCCCTTTGTCTAAATCTGTCTTCATTTGGAGCCTGTTCAGTCAACATTCCAGGTCTTCAGCCATAGTTGTCTCTTACATCCACATTAACTACCAGGCCCATTACTGAGAACTGGGCATTGTCCAGAGTGGCATTTGTCTTGAAGGTGGATTAGTTTATTCATCTTACTGAATTTGATCCTATGCTCTTAAGGGAGTAGCAGATGGAAATCATGATGGAAACCTTACCAAAGACTGAGATAATTTGGGAGGCCCTGTCAGCTAAGGCTGTCACTTCATATGCTTTGTATTGCACAATCCCCATTTTCTTCTCCTTTGGATATTTGGGGTAACTTCCCAACTTTGTGGCTCATGAAACTAGTACTGTATTGTCACTACAATTTTGAGCAGGTATAGGGCTGCCTAAAGGCATAAAGTTTAGTGAAAAGAAAGGAGCCATCTTCTGTTTCTGGATATCTTCATTTTGCCTCAAGAACTTTGTTGAATGCTTCTAGGGAGGGTAGACACGGGGGGGGGGGTACTACTTAATGAGATCTTTGTCAATAGCAGGAGGTCCATGTTGTAGGTAGCTGTGTCTTGCAGACCTTCCCAAATAGTGTGAAAAGCCATTTTGAGTCTGGTGGGTTCAGCAACTACTAGTCTTCTCTATGGACAGTTCCTGCTCCTCCCTCTGATGTCCAAGTAGGATATGGCTTGAGTGGGGACTGAGTGTCTCTGAATTCTCTTCCACCTGTGGAAGTGGTCTGGCTTTTGTATTCTTTGGGAAGGAGATGGATCCTCTGAGGAGGGGAGTTAGCACAGCTTCCTCCTCCTTGCTTTATGTGGCTAAGCTAGGTGGAGCCTTCAAACTGGGACTTTTCCCCTTCCATTCCTCCTGGGATGTTTGATTATAGGTGTGGGCCATTCTGTTAGAGCTGTGGTCTGATTAGATGCTCCATAGCCTTCTCATGGGATCTCTGTGGAATGGAAGATAACTTAGACTTCTGGATAATATATTATCACAAGAAGCAAGTACAGAAACGGGAATGTTGCCAATTCATTGGAAAAAGGGGAAGAAGTTGCCCAGCACTGCTAGCTCCCGTCCCCTGATGTCCAGCCCATCTGAATCCCTGGAGGACAAGCACTATGGCAGCTATATGGGTGAATGGCCAGTGATTCAGTTGTCACTATGTTGGTCACATTTTCTTGAATGGATCATGGCAAGGAGGCTAGGATGCTGCACAGGCAGCACATTATTGTCTTTTCATTTGCTAGCTTCTGGGCTGAGGGTTCCCAAAAAGAAGGCAAACCCAAGAAGTGTACAAGAAAAAAGAGGAAGGTCTACAATTGAGATGATTCAGCTCCACTGATGGTTAGCAAAACCCGTGGGTGTACATGGTCTGTGGAATCAAGCAGGGTCATAATTGGGGAAAAGAGAGCTACCTCCTCCCACTGTAACCAACCAAGATTTTCTAGGCCTGCCTCTGGAATGAGCAAGATCCCACATCAGTATACTGGTTCTATTATAGTTAAAACAAAGAAATTGCTGTGTAAGTCCTTAGTGCTTTAATTTTTACTTTAAAAAATAAAGCAAACACATCACAGTGATAAAACTAAAGAATATTTAATGATTAAAACTGTTTTCCTTTTTTCCCCAGTTGTTTATTCATCAGAAATGTTCAATTGTTACACAATAATTACTAAATTCACCCTGTAAAATCCAGAATAGCCTAAGAATGTTAATCACAAAATGTTTTCACCTACATTAAAAAAAAAATATCATATTTTGCTTCTACCATGCTTCTGTATGCGATAATCTTCAGTTTTCCAATCTATGGCCCAGGAATCCTTTCTTCAAGTTATGAATGGCCAATTTAATATAATCAAATAATTTTTATTGCTAAGGAATGTATAGGTGGGTCACATCCCCAAAAAATCAATGATTTTTTCCCCCGGAACACAACTAAGAACTATTTTAAAGCTTTGAATGCAGCTGAACTTCTCATTACACTGAAGATACATTTAGGGCTAAAGGACAGATCTTCAAAAAGCGAAGTATTTTTGAATTACAGGTTTTATAAGATTCTCAAACACAGTGAAATCCATGCTGCTTAATGATATAAGAATTGTGTAGTATCAAAATCCTGAGGCTTACATATCATACATATTAATGAAAGATCTGAAAGTATTCTGCCTGCTGTATGATCTGTAGGGTTGTTAGGAATGAGTTTTAAATCTGTACAGTACATATTTGATACATTTTCAGATTAGATTTGGGCCTTATTTCTGCAATATATGAGTTTTTCCAAAATAATGCCAATTTTTGCTTATCCAAAATTTTTCAAATTTAAATCTTCAAACATCTTATAGAATAGAACATTTTAAGATAAGGATTTACAATTGCTGTCCCTTTTATCATTTAAGTTGAAAAGTCAGGGATATATCTAGTTCAGTGGCTGACATCATTCCTGCTAGACAATCCAGAAGTACAAAAATGCCCTCAGAAAATTTCTCATAAATCTGAAGAAGCCTTTGGTTGTCTATTTGGTAATAGTCTAATTGAACAGACAAGCTGAAGAGGCTTGTATTTTTGGATTAAAATTATTATAATTCTCTGGACAGGTACATTTTATGTATCTATTGACCATTTTCAAATGTGAGCAATGGTCCTTAACAGTCTGCCATTGATTGACTGGAGACAAGCTCACATCTTACATCATCTTGTACCCAAAGCAGAAACTTACAGAATTCACAACACTTCTTGAATGCAGAGTTTTTGGAAATGGAATAAAACAGAATTATTCTTAGGCTATAGGAAATCTTGGTCTCAACTTCAACTTTGCAGTCCAGTAAACCTCAAGCACAGAAAGGAAGACAGAGTCATGTACTATACTTCATTACCTTGTTGCTCACAATCACAGTATTTTCCAAAAGGACTTTGATGCTTTATAAATTCATATCATACAAAGCTGGTTGGGCTGAGCAATCAAGATTTTTTTCTTCCAGTACAGAGTCCTGATTTCCAACAATTCACTAGAATTGGGTTAAAGGTCTACAAGTTCTTTACAGAGATTTCCAGCTTCCTTATAAAGGAGAAATCTTATTTTGATATTGAATCACATATTTACTTCAGTAATTCTGATTAGTAAATTGCAATCTTCTCACTATACAAACACTAACACTTATACAATGCATTTTGTGCTGTATCATATTTCCTTCTTGCTCTCTTAAGTTATTTCATCTGCAAGCATTTCTCCTGAGGGAGAAAATTTTCTGGCCATACAGGTAAGACTAGGTGGGATATGCGACTCCATAACCCACTCAACTTGTCTGTATCCATGCGTTTATAGGACCTTGGTGTATCTGAGTTAGTAAATTTAGCCCAGAGGAAATCTTTCACTCTCTTCTCAACTTCCAACAAGGAAAAGCTCTTTTGCAGGGACTCCTCATCCAGAAGAACAGTTAATAGTAGAGCCACATCTTTAAATGCTGCATTTTCATGGTCACAGTACTTATAAAAAATCAGGGTGGAACCTGCAGGTAGTGACTCAAACCGATGGACTACTGCTGCTTTGTTACCATTCTCAAAACCAGAGCTCAGCTTTTCATCAACGGTAAGTTTGACAACATCACTATCTTGAGCTCTTGTGCCAGCCCCATCAATTTTAATTGTAAGAGCGCCTTGAGAAGATGCGAAAGCGTCAGCAATCTGGTTGCTTAAACACTTCAACACATCTTCAGCTTCTTTTGAAGCAGTGAGCAATAAAATAGCTGGTTCCAAATGAAGCTGAGAAGAATTTAGACGTTTCTCAAAAGTAGTCTGGATTCTCTTCCACAGTATTGCATCTTGACTTGGGTAGGTGTTCCTGAGCTCTTTCATTTGGTTTTGAAATGCTTGTAGAACTTTATAATCAATTTCCAAAGTGTGAACTGATGAATACTGAAATGCATACCATCCACAAGCAGCAATGCAAGTTGCTACAAGTATTGCAATTGTTATATGTAAGTATCTTCTCTCAGAAGGTGTAGAACCTAGTATATGCATATAAGAAGGGGAAAAACAAAATTTTCAGTAATGCACCTACATTTTATTATATGAAGTGTATTTCTTTATTTACTCAAGCCTCTCTAAGTAGAATGATCTTATATAAGTAGATAGGTACTTTATCCAAAGAACTTGAGTGCTCCAGGAAACAGACTGCAAAGGACTCTAATTCATTAGGAAAATGTCAACTTTATTACAACTAAAAATTTTCAGAGTCATAATAAAGTTTAGTAATTTTTTTATTAAAGATTTTAACATGCTGTATGCAAATAACCAAACTGATTTAGTATATAGTCCATTATTTATCACTACATATTAGGTTTTTGCTAAAAAAAAGTTAAAATTTTCCAGACTTGATCAAGGAACCCATCTCATGAAGTGACTGAAACCTATACCCTCTACAATCAATATATAATGTTAATATCTGCAAATACAGTTTTATTTATTACATTTCTAGGCTGCCCAACTCCAAACAACTCTGGGTGGCTTCACAAAGTTAAACTAACAATTCCATAAATACAACATCCATAAAACAACAGCCATCCAAGGGAACAAAATCATCCCCCTTCAATTCAAAAGGGCCTGCCAATCTATCTTAACCCAAGGCCTGGGAAAAAGCTGGGATTTTAAAGAATGCTTGAAGGTGGACAAGATGGAGACCATATGAATCGTGTGCGGAGGGGAGATGCTTTTCCACAGGGCAGGTGCAGCAACAGGGAAGGCCCACTTCTGGTTTCCACTGAATGATACTGTTTAGTCAATGGGACCTGAAGCAAGTTAACTCTATCAGAGCACAAAGAGTGGATAGACACTACAGGAGACAGGAAGTCCCTCAGTTAGGGTCTATGCCATACAGTCAGGTCCAGAAATATTGGGACATCGACACAATTCTAACATCTTTGGCTCTATACACCACCACAATGGATTTGGAATGAAACAAACACAATGTGCGTTAACTGCAGACTGTCAGCTTTAATTTGAGGGTATGTACATTTTTTAGATGTCGTTTGGCAAACTCTAATCTGGCCTTCCTGTTTTTGAGGCTCACCAATGGTTTACATCTTGTGGTGAACCCTCTGTATTCACTCTGGTGAAGGTTGTTCCAGAACTGTGAAGGCTTTTTTAGATGTCGTTTGGCAAACTCTAATCTGGCCTTCCTGTTTTTGAGGCTCACCAATGGTTTACATCTTGTGGTGAACCCTCTGTATTCACTCTGGTGAAGGTTGTTCCAGAACTGTGAAGGCTTTTTTAGATGTCGTTTGGCAAACTCTAATCTGGCCTTCCTGTTTTTGAGGCTCACCAATGGTTTACATCTTGTGGTGAACCCTCTGTATTCACTCTGGTGAAGGTTGTTCCAGAACTGTGAAGGCTTTTTTAGATGTCGTTTGGCAAACTCTAATCTGGCCTTCCTGTTTTTGAGGCTCACCAATGGTTTACATCTTGTGGTGAACCCTCTGTATTCACTCTGGTGAAGGTTGTTCCAGAACTGTGAAGGCTTTTTTAGATGTCGTTTGGCAAACTCTAATCTGGCCTTCCTGTTTTTGAGGCTCACCAATGGTTTACATCTTGTGGTGAACCCTCTGTATTCACTCTGGTGAAGGTTGTTCCAGAACTGTGAAGGCTTTTTTAGATGTCGTTTGGCAAACTCTAATCTGGCCTTCCTGTTTTTGAGGCTCACCAATGGTTTACATCTTGTGGTGAACCCTCTGTATTCACTCTGGTGAAGGTTGTTCCAGAACTGTGAAGGCTTTTTTAGATGTCGTTTGGCAAACGATGTACATACCCTCAAATTAAAGCTGACAGTCTGCAGTTAACGCACATTGTGTTTGTTTCATTCCAAATCCATTGTGGTGGTGTATAGAGCCAAAGATGTTAGAATTGTGTCGATGTCCCAATATTTCTGGACCTGACTGTATATGGCTTTTGCTTCCATTTGCAGAATGAGCTACAATGTTGCAAAGAAAACAGCAGTTTTGCTCTAGTTTCCAAAAACCCACAGCTAAACAACAACAGCTAACATCATGTGATCAAATAGCCTGGAACTAGTTCCAAATCAGTGCCAAGCCCTTGATGGAGGTGTCCTCACTCCCAATATCTCAGAATCCAAGATACAATGTTACCTCCAATGAGTATCTTGCCTAATAAGAATTAATAAGCTTAGAATCAGACTGGTAGTAGTTCCTTGAGTTTCCAGAACAGAACTTTCCCAGCTATCCCTAGAAACACAAGGACTGAACATAACACCTTTTTGTATGCAAATCATGGGCTATATCACTGAGCGATGGATTTTTTTGTAACACTTAAAATAACTGATCATCTCATTACCAGAATAGGCAAGGTATAGTCTTCTAGATTTTATCTGACTGTAACTCCCAACATTTTTTACAAATGGTCTGGCTTGCTAAGGCTTGTAACTGCAGCTCAATAATGACTCAAGGGCATCTTGCCTATTGTGGATTTACACCGTAAGAAGCAAGGTAAAATGTGAGCTCTTTAATTCTCTGCTTTGTTTAAAATGAGATATTATACCTGACATTTTTTAAATATTCCAATATTATCTGATCATTAAAACTATTTGCCAGTGTTTAAGAGTAACTTTTTATTTCTTACAATTATCCCTTCCTCCATGAAGCAAATCTAAACTGTATTCTTTTATGCTCCCCGCCCTCCCATATATACTTCATCTTGTCACTGGTTTGCTTCCCTCTGGCAGTTGAAATTAGTTATTAGATTGCATCTTTCAACTTCAAAATAGAGCAAGAAAGCTAAGTCATTCTGCATAATCAAGTACATCTGTGTTTGCTTGTATTACAGAGAGTTCTAGGTTCCTCAAACATTTCAGAACTTAGTGTATATGTATATAGACTAGATTGGTTAGCACCATACACGGTTCTAAAGGATTAAAAATAAGTCTTACTTTTTAAAGCAGTCTGTAGATACTTCTTCTGCGTAGCGCTGGGCTTCTCAAACTTTGTAGTTCTATGATCCCCTAAAATGATAAATTATATGAGCCTCTACTAATAATTTAATTGACATTAAGGGTAGGGCAAGAGATAAATATATCACTTTCAGTAATTACATTTATATATCAAATAAAACAATGATAGCACTTTGCAACTTTATACTGTAAAACATATTCATTGGAAATAAGCAATAGTACAATCAATTTTAAAATCATAATTTTTAAATATTTTTATTAAGAAGTTTAAACAAAAGATAAAAACTAATAAGAACTAATACAAAGTAAAAAGAGAAAGAACAAAGAAAAATCAAAAGTGCAAAAAGAAAAAAATAGAAATAGAAAGAAGTTGCTTCCAATTTCCTTTACAGCAAGTATAATTACAAATACAAAATTACCTCTTACTCTACGATTACAAAAACAAACTCTTTTTTCTATTGTCCATTTTTTTCTACACATCAAAACTGTAAGTCATTACTTCATGTTTTTCTGTTTCATGCAAGAAGTCTGTAAGAGACTTCCAGTCAGCAATAAATGTAAAATTTTAAATCATAATTTTAATTGGAAGGATGAGTTTATTTTTACATAATTTGTGACATCTGATTTTTTAATTTATTTTTATTGCTTTTTAATTAATAACAAGAAAAGAGGAAGTAAAAGAGCAAAACAATGATAATGATGGAAATACATTGTCAAAGAGGAAAAAAACATAAAAAGTGCTTTACAAAAAAAGTAAAAGTACAACCAAAAACAGTATGTCATTATAACAGTAAACAGTTACAATTCTATATATACTTATCTAATGCAAATATTATTCAAGTACATATATATTTCTAATATATTTATATGACTATCGTGTTTTTTAAAAATTGTACTAGTGTATTTTGTATGAATCCCATATACTTGTCATTTTGTATACATGAGTCCCATACTTCATTATAGTTGACATTTGGGTTTTAATTCTTAGACAACCACTTTCACTTCTTGTTCCACGTGTATTTTGGGTTAATATTTGCTCTTTATAGCAGCAACTGTAGAAATCCCGACTTTGCTGCCAGTTTGTCTAGCAGGAACAAATGATCCAGTTTTGAGTGTACATGCCGTGAGTCCTGTATAACCAAAGCTGGATTGCTATAAGATTGCGCTGGATCCCTGTCAGCCCACACTCCATGTTTTCCTCTCTGCTCTGCTTGAACAATCTGACAGTCAGCTTGATCAGGCTGGGAGAGAGCTCTAGCTTGCGAGGCAAAGAAGGATCACTGTCAGAACTTGCTGCTACTCTGACAAGGTGGCTGTCAACTTTTCCAAGCAAAGTGGAGAGGAAAATAGAGAGCACAATCCAATGGAGTTCTGGCTTTGTTTGTCCAGGCAGAGAGGAAAGGAGTTGTGTCAGTGACTCTGCTTTGCATGAGCAAGCCATTAGGCTTGCAGAAAGCTGGAGCCATTTATTTATTTACATATTTATTAATCAGATTAATATGGCCGCCAGTCTCACACAAGGTGACTCTGGGCGGCATACAACAATTGAATAAAACAGCAAATAGATTTTTAAAAAATCATTATAAAAGCATAAAACATTATTAAAAGAATATTATCAAAAAATTTTAAAATATACGAACCCCATGGAGAGAGCAAGAGTATCAATCACAGTGGAACCATCTAAGAATGTCTCCAGTTCCCAAAGACCCCCAGGCCTGATAACATAACCAGGTCTTGAGGGACTTCCTAAATGATAGCAGGGAAGAAACAAGCCTAACTTCGGGGGGAGAATGTTCCACAAGGAGGGAGCCACGGCAGAGAAGGCCTGCCTCCTGGGACCCACCAAATGCAAGTCTCTGCCGATGGAACGCATAGCATACCTCCCCTGCCGG